TTGATTTGGTGACTCATAGAAATAGATTACCTAATTAAATTTATAATTACGAGTTTAGTTTTATATTAGTAATTAGTCTAGGTTGATTATATGACAACTTATGTTGACTTAGGCTTCGTTTGGGATAATTTTTTTCTGCTTTCTAAAACAGCTTTCTAGTATAAAATTTTCTTAAACAAGAAATTTTTGGTGCTAAAAAGTTGCTTTAGAAAGTGGAAAGAAAGTTAGGACAAATGAAGTCTTAGATGCAACTATTAGTTATGTATATGTGATTGACTTAGAGTTCTTATTATATTTTAGGACTATTATGTTGACAGCTGTGTTATTTTTATTAGATTTTAACGAGTGTTAAACTTTTGTGTTGTATGTTTCATGATAAGTAGCTTTTATTTATTAAAGGATAAACATATCATTCTTTGTGAGTGCATTATTTTTTATATTTGTAATATGTTCCTCATATGTTTAGTGCATTTATGCATATGTTATGATTCATTATTATTTTGAGGATTTATTTAAGCACTACAAAATTCTTATAAATTTACATATTTAACACCAAGATGTCAAAATCTTTATTTTACTTAAATAAAGCTTAAATTTTTAAATCACATAAAAATACCACTAATTTTAGCTCATTTAAATAAAAATACATAGTTTCATGCATATGTTTTGATGTGATTTAGGCATTAAAGTGTTATATAATTAAATATTAAATAAAAAATGTGTTGATGTGTAAATATATATAAATTTTGTGGTATGTATGTAATTCCTATTATTATTTTTCATAAAGAGGATTATTACATTATAATCATTATAGATCAATTGATGGTTTTTATCATTTATGTCTTATAATATTACTCTAATTTTGTGTTATGATGTCATTTTTAATTCAGGTATTAGATTTACAATATTATCTTATTAAATAAGTGTTCGCCTATTAGCATAATGGTTCTTATTTCAATTTTGTAAAATTTATATTTAAAATTTTCATTTCGTATGAATTATTATTTTTTCCTTTTTTTTTATAAAGGTTATTTAATTGATCACAAATTTCTTTTTTGCTACCTAAAAATGTAAATTAAATTGCATGCTGAAAAAATTTGTGATAATAGAAATTGTTTATTATCTTAGCATTATATAATAGTTATATACCTATATTGGTAAGAAAAGTTGAGAGAAGTAAAAAAAAATTATGTTGAAATATAGAGAGGAAAAACAATCTAGTTGAAATAATTCTGCTAGTGTATGTTATAGGCTACAAATATCGCATTTTCTCATAATTCATGAAATCGTCGATTCAATATTGTATGCATGAACTATGGTTGCTTACATGGTAATTGTTAGGAGAGCTTTGATGCATTAAAAGTGTCTTCAATATTTCATTGGTGGTCTAATTGATTCTTTTCCTTAAAGATGAGGAGACCATAAACCAAAAAGTTTGACATAAGACATGTAACACCTACATTTCAGTGTACCATTCCACTTGTTCTGACCCGATCTAATTCAAAGTAATTAATTGAATTTTTGTATTTGAATCTTTTTGCATGTGTCTGAAAATATTTGATATGCATGTGAAAGTCTGCATATGAAGGAAATCCTAGGGGTTTATTTGCATGATTTGAAAATCTAAAAAATTTCTTTCGGGGGCCATAATGTTAGGTCAGACGGTACAGCTGCGTTGTGCTCCTTGAAATTTTATAAATTAATTCAGCATTGTAGTGTTGTATGCTCCTTAAGGGAGGGCTACGACGCGCACAATCGAGCCCCGCGGTTGGGTCTTGATTTTAAAATAACAATATAAATTTTCACTATTTCATTTCATTACATTTGTGAAATTAACCTCTTAAGTAAAAAAAGTTAAACTCTTAAATATCGATGCGCCTTTTGGTGTAATGGTTAAAATTTTATTTAAAAAACTCTGTAGTTATGAGTGCTCTTCTCAGAAAAATCCTGGGATGGGTGACTTCCTGAGAAGTTACACCAACAAGACAATACGTATGGGACAGTGTTATGTTACAGGAGTCAACACTTGAATTTATAGGAGCCACCTCTATTCTATTTGCTTAGTGGATGATTTTGGGATAACGATGATGATGTGGACATCAGTTACTTTAGTGTGGGAGATTATGAAACCTCTTAAGTAAAAGAAGCTAAACTCTTAAACATCGATTCACCTTTTAGTGTAATAGTTGGAATTTCATTTAAGAAACTACATAGTTAAGCTTACTCATCCTGGAGAAATCTTGGGATGGGTGATCTCTTGGGAAGTTACACCAATTGGACAAAATCGTGAGGCCCTTAGGTCAAAGTGGACAATGTCTCGATAGTTAAAAGTTTGAGCGGTTACAACATTCCCTTAAAGCAACCGGTAGGAGAGAGAGAGAGGATAAATCATTGAGAGAGAAAGCTATCTTTGGGCGATTTTGAACCATATTTAATTGTAGGACAAGTTCTAAAAATTGTTCGGCTCGAGGTAGGTTGCATTTTGCTTATCTCAATTTAAAAAAAATATATGAGAATTTTAAAATTATATGATTTAATTTATAATTCTGTTATCAAAAAATTTTGATAACTTGATATTTGCAAAACTTTCACAACATTATTTTTAGTATGTTCTAGATATAATAGTTTTTTTTTTTGAAAAAAATTTCACCTGGTAAATTGAAAATTTTGAGTTTTTTTTTTCTACTAAATTAGAAAATTATTTTTGTTTCTAAAAAAATATTGTAGCACAATTAAAACTTCAAAACAATACTCTGAATAATCTCTGATAATTTGATTATATTCTGAAATATTAATTTTCTGCTTATTTGTATATTCCCCTACCTACTATTAAAACATTCTAATAAATTTTAAAATGAGTTTATTTATAATTTTCATTGCAGTGCAATGAATTATATGATCATCTATTTGAAATGTGTGATTCTGAGGAGATCTGAAAGACGTGAAGAAAGTTCTGTTTTGATGCTAAACGTGCACTGATGCCAAAGGCCATCACATTGTGATGCTATATGCATGTTTTGTTCATATGTTATATGTGTATTCTATTTTGATGTAGGGCATTGGGAGTAAGAAAGGCTTATTTCTGATATTCCGGCATGAGAGTCATAATGGCTAGAATTTTCTAAATTCTATTTTGATGGGAGGTATAATGCTTGAGAAAAATCTATTATTTTTTGCTATGATGTATGAAGTATGTGTTTATTTATTTTCATTGCACAATATATTTTAAATTCAGATATATGCAAGTAATATCATGCTTTGTATATTATATTTCTTATGAACTACTTTTAAATTCAATTAAATATATAATAAATGATTTATTTGAAAGCTTATATCAGTGAGTATAGCTTGCTGAGCTGTGTTGGCTCATAATTTATTTGCATTTTATTTTAGGGCATGAGAAAGGAAAATAGCTCTTAAGTAGCGGAGTCGAGGTCCGATCTGTCTATGTTTGTATTAGTATTTCTTTTCTGATTTTTGTATAGTCATGACTAGTTGTTTAAATTGCTCTATTGTATAGTTCAATATGTAGCCATGTACCGTAGTGCAATTATTATATATACATTTTGATGAGAAATAAGAAAAATATTAATGAGCTATTTTATGTATACTAGAAGTTGTTAGCATCTCTGTAATCTATTGTTCCTTTTAAGTTTAATTGAAAATTGAAAGAAGAAAAATCTAAATAGTTCCCCCAAAACTCTAATATTAGGCTGGTCTGTTGCAAGCCAACTCGATATGACCTATTCTATTTATGGATCTTATCGGAGTGGATTGTGATAGCATAAGTCTTGGTGTCGACGTTGAGCACTTACATTGATGTGGGTCGAGCTTAATGTTGATAATGGGCATTGGTAATTGTGGTGATGGCATGCAACAAAATTGGTAGGTGCTGGCTTTAGTGTCAAGAATGTCCATTAGCCGAATTGCCAATGGTGTTTGTTGTTGTTGATGAAGATGGTGATGGTGGGCAATTATAGTAAGGCTACGATGTTCAAGCAATGATAGTCAGGGGATATTGGTCATGCAATAATAGTCAAATAATATTTACCATACATAAGGTGGTCGGGTAACTGTAGTTAGAAGATAGTATTTCAGTGACTATAATTAGGAAATTATAATAAGGTGGTTGTAGTGGGACAATGATGGTCAATGGCAATGATCATTGAGCAAAGCTCTCTTTACCTCTAGCTTAAGTTTTAGTTCCACATATTTTCATGTTCCAAACTATCCTTCATATGAATATTACATATTTATTTATATATTTTGTGAGTAACATTTTAGTTATGTTAACAAAAATCCCAAAACAATCTAGTATGCATTCATATGATTCTTTTGATCATAGAGTATTTTTTAAGCATTTAGTTATTTTAATGATACCATAATTGAGCGAGCTTAGGCTCGTTAAATTTCTCGTTTTGACTATAAGCTCATAAGATTCAAAGATTATTTAGTCTTTCAAATAATATTATAAAATTTTAGAATATGCTTCAAATGTCTGAGTCGGAAACATTTGGACTATGATCAATATGCTTTGATGATTCCATGTTCATCTCATCAAAATATTTGATTTTACTTTAAACTTATGGAGTATTATCTACAATTTTACTTGTCAAAAAGGGGTAAATAAAAAGGGGCAATTAAGAAAAATCATATTTAAAAAAAACCATAAAAAATCATTTTATATAGTAAATAGCTAAAATTTATTCTCAAATAAAACTGAATAATACACTCTCTAATTAATTTAATTATAAAAATAACTTTTCATCTAATTGTTAGAGCATAATAATAAAATATCATTATTATTAAAAAAAAGAATATAAAAATAAAAAATTAATATAAACGAAGCAAAAAACTCTCAGAATATTTTCAAACTAATATAATAATACTACCAGAAGGCGGCGCCCAAGTTGCCAAGGAGGAACCCTAGTGTTGGCCGCCTCCCTTCCAACTCACACCGCAAGCCTGACTCCATGAAAAATTATTACAGGCGAGAAAAAGCAATTCCTGAAATTCATTTTTTTCCTTTCTTTCCACCGCAATCAAGCCCTTTTTCTTCTGTTTTATCTCCGTTTGTGAAAATTTTCTCTTATTAGAGCCCTATTTTTGGTCGTTTTAGTCCGCATAATGAGCTGGATCGCTCTGACGACCGATTGAGAGGGTGGTTTGTTTGTTTGTTTTCTTCTCCTCTCGAAATTACTCTAAAATGTCCAAATTTTTAATTTTTGGTTGATAATTATGTATTTTTTTAATAAATCAGTGTGAGATGCTTGCTCTATATCTTTCTAACCTACCAACTCCGTCACTTATATTAAATAATTTATCCTATAAATCCTCCTCAATAGCGCTTCCCTTCTTTTCCGTCTGCCGTGTACTTGTTGCGTTTGATTTGAACGTGGTAAGAAACCTTGTGAGGAATTGGGTACAAAGCAATCGGATTTGCTGTCTGATCTCTTTCTCTCTATCTTTTGTTTGGTCTGGTTCCATTTTTTGTTGATTGTTGATGTTTTTTAATCTCTATGATGGGATTCGACAATTAGTGTTTGGGCTTTCGACTATTTGGTGTATTCCTCTGCAAAATATTAGCTTGTAATGTTCTTAGGTCTGATAACTTTTTTGTTGTTGATGTTTTCTAATCTTTGTGATGGGATTCTGCTTTTAGGTTTTGGACTTAAGACTTTTTTGGTATATTTTTCTGCTAGCTATTAGCATGAGAGATTTTGATTCTTTAATTGGAATAGGTAAGAAGTGCTGATGGCTGAATTGGTTGGTCCACGGCTTTATAGCTGCTGCAACTGCCGAAACCATGTTTGCCTTCATGATGATGTTATTTCCAAAGCCTTTCAGGTGAATAAATTACCCAACTTCTGGTAGATTTTGGTGCTTTTTCTTTTTCACTTCTTTTGGTTATATAAAAGATGAAATTTTGTAGTTTTTTGGTGCTTTGTTTTTTGTTATTTCTTCACATAGCATGAATTCACAATGGTAATTCTTATAAAAACGTTTTTCCTATAACTTTCTTCTGCAAATTTGACCAGTAGAGATTAGTTGGATTTTAGTTTACATGTGTGTGGATTTTCTCTTTATGCATGGGATCTCATTTTGTAGAATTTTATTGCATTTCAAACCCATTATGATTCACTTTATTCATCATAATATGTTATTTTTGCCGAGTTCTTCTTGGTGAATGATAAGTGTCTCCCTTTCCACGCCACCTTAGGGAAGAAAGGGGCGAGCATTTCTGTTTTCTCATGCAATGAACATAGTTTTGGGCCCAAAGGAAGATCGGCTGCTGATGACAGGACTTCATACAGTTGCTGATATATATTGTAGTGATTGCCGTGAGGTGTTGGGTTGGAAGTATGAAAGAGCTTATGAGGATAGTCAAAAGTACAAGGAAGGAAAGTACATACTTGAGAAGTCCAAGATCATAAAGGAGAATTGGTATCAGTTTTAAGTTCATTCTTAAGAAATCAAAGATTATTAAGATGAAAGTCTACTATTTGTGGTTTCCAATTGCTTGAAAACTGAGTCTTCAAACACAAAATTTTGTGTTTGATAATTCTGTTTGTCCATCTTGTACATGTCAATTGATTGAATGCCATCTACGTCTATGTATTCATGTTGTTTTAATGTCTGCAGTTCGTGTTTTGGATGCTGTTGAATTGATTGTGCATAATCTGTAACCATGTGGTATTATTATTGTAATTTGCAACCATGTTAATGAATTCCTTGGTCTGGCTGCACTTGCCATTATGTTTCTTTGCATGATGAAGATGGCTTCATTTGAGACGGCTTTCTTACTGCTTCTTAAGACATCTTTTTAATATAAAAAAAATTTTGCTTCATAAAATAATTTGGAATCTTAAATTTATTAATTAATAAAAATTATTTAGATTTCTAAAAAATAAGATACTTATAATTTATTATTTCTTAATTAGAAATAAAAAATTTCTAAACTTGAATATTTAAAATTAATAATTAATTTTTGAATTTTAAAAAAAAATGTCTGGTGAACAGTGTGATGTCAATATTGACATTACATTATGCACCCGCAGTCAAATAGTGGCAAAAATACTGCTCAATAAGATCAAAGAAACACCATACGTTTGTATGGCGTTTAGAGATGCCCTAAAACATTAAAATTCAAAGTGAAATTAAACTCGTGTTTTTCATTTTTGTCAAATTCTGAATGATTTGATTGTGACATGCATGAATACATTTGTTCAATTGTTCAAAAAAGAAAAAAAAATGGCACTGCTTTAGTTTTGTAAATAGGTAAGATCTAGGTATTATGTATGTAATCCCCCTCTACAAAAATACGGGATGTGAAATTGATAAACTATCAATCAATAATGCTAAAAAATTAAAGTTTTGATTGGGAATTTGAAAAAAAAAATTATTGGGAGTTAAGCAAAAGAAATTAAGGATTTGGATGAAGAGGAAAGGAAAAAAAAAAGAACAAATTCTTTTCATTTTGATTTGGATATCAAAGATGAAAAAATAGAAAATTATTATTATTAATTTGATTAAGAGTTAATATACAAGATAGAAATAGAAATTTTATTATTGAATCAAAATCTCTTTGTGGGTGATGCCAAAAACCTTACTTGCAAGACTTTCAAGGCTCCAGAAGATTAAAAGGGGGAAGGGGGAGAAACTCAAAGGATTTTACTACCGGCTAAATTTATAAGATATGACTTTTTGGTGTAAAATATGATCCTTTGACCCCACATTTATAAAGTTTTGGGCACTGTAGGAGAGTCTACACCTTGACTTCATATCAAATGAAGAAAAAATGTATAATGAGACAATTGGATACATGTGGACAAAACTCTAGTGAACATACATGATAATATATGTCAGAACGTAAGTAAGTATATGTTGATAGCTCCTAAGATGGAAAAATTATTTTGTGCGGAATCCATAACCCAATGAAAATGTGCCAAGTCTGATACCGAGCTTAGTACAAAGCGGTACTCGATACCGCTCGACACCTAGGCGTAAACCGGATGGTTCTCCCGTCTGGTGTCCGTACAGAATAATCTCTCCCTAAAATGAGTGGTTGGAGGGAGTTGTCAACTTGTTGGTGAAGTCACCGACTCAGGATATGCATAAACGAGTCTCTCTTGTTAATTGGGAAGATGATCCCTCAAGCTAGAGTAAGTGGCCCTCCTAGTTGGGAGAAATTATTAGGTGCGGAGTGCGTCCGGAGACCAATAAAAATGAGTCACGTCACCTCATTGGTGGGTACCCGCACTCGGTACTGCTGGGTACCACTAGGTACCCAGTACTTGTGCATACGATTCTCCCGTCCGCACTCCGCACCTAATAATTTCTCGGGGCGAGTGATGCTAGCTATGGGCTATGGCAATTGACCACATGGGTTATGGAAAATGGCCCTTTTGACAGGTTCGAGTGAACCCACCAGCTAGGGAGAGTGACTCCATAGGCTTGTCTGTAGAGTCATTCCTTGAGTGTATATGGGTGCACCTTTGATTCCCTAATTCTTTTATATCTTTGGAGTGTAACTTGTAAATCAAACAAAAGAATTAGGTAAAGCATTTATCATTTTTGTCAAATAGCAAATGAGAAATGATATATTCCACTGCCATGTTCAATTCTCATCTCAAGAACTGGGCAAATTATTGCGTCCGGTGTCCAGATTCGTCTGGGACACCAATCCGGTGTCGTCACGCCACCCAAATACACCAGGACCCAATATATTTGGGTGACGTGGCGTCACCGGATTGAATGTCTTGACATCCGGTGACCGGACACAATAATTCGCCCAAGAACTGAGCCTCATTTATCTCTTTAATAATGGTGTTGATTTGATCGGTAAGCACTTTAGCGTTAGCTGTCTATAAATATGGTTTGGGTGCTTTCATTTGAGGCTAGATACTCCCTCTCCCCCTTCTTAATGTAGTTATATAGTTTCTTTCACTTTTCATGGTCGATTTGTTTCAAAAAAGATAATGAATGTGCTGAGCCACGAATTGTGACAAAGATTATTTACAAGCACAAGCAGGTCCTGTAAGCTGAAGTTCAAAAAGCAATTAAACTCGCCGAGAGGAGGAAGCTCTTGGTGAGAGAAGATTTTGATATATATATCTTGCTTTTTAGTAGGTGGGTCTTGCGATTGCCTTGGATCTCTAATGGAGGAGAGATTATTCTGTACGGATACCAGATGGGAGAACTGTCCGGTTTACGCTTAAGTACCGAATACCACTCGGTACTAAGTTAGGTACCGAATGTGATGCATTTTCTTTGAGGTATGGACTCCGCACATAATTTTTTTTTCTGCTGGAGAGGGTTGAGTAGCATCAATTCACTCCTAGAACTAAGATTGACTGCCCTTAAACCAAAAGCTACAAGAACATCAAAGGTCATTGGCCACCAGTACATAAATGTCCATGCTCTTTTAGTGAGATAATTGTTCTTATAACCTATGAAATCTACCATATAAACATGTTTTTTTTTTTTAATGTTCTTTCAATGCCACATATGCTTAATTGATTTCATAATCATGGTGGTAGAATAAAGCTGCGCAGGTTTTTTTTTTTTTTTTGTGATGAGGAAGCACTGTCCTTAGGCCAGTGAAAACCCCGGTCGACCTAGCATGCAACCCACAGCAATTTACACGGGCCAACACTTAAGGCTTTCACTGCTTGCAAAGAGATTCGAACCAGGGACCTAGGCTTTGCCCAACCGGCTCTTCACCACCCGGACAAGCAGCGGTGGGTAAGCTGCGCAGGTTATCTAAAACTTGAAATATTTTATGCCATAGAGTAAGACTTCGTTTGGATTGGCTTTCTTACTATTTTTTAAAGTAGTTTTTAGTAAAAAAATTAAATTTTAATAATAAAAAACTGTTTTAAGAAGCAGTAAGAAAGTTATCTCAAACGAAACATAAATGTTCTTATATTAGGGCAGCAGTTTCAATACAAGCTGCTGCGAACAAAGAGTAAATGCAGAAATTATGAAGAGAAGAAAAGAAAATTTCGATATTGTTAAAAGAATGATTAAGGTAGTAAAATTCAACTTTTCATTGTCTTTGTTTAGAATACCACTCAACTCTTTATGGTAGAGTGAGAAGAGTCTAAGCTGAAACTATGAATAGTCATATTGTTTGATAAGATGCTCCTGTGTCTTTGTCACTAGAAATGAGTGACAATTTGCTTGGCAAGCATGACATCTAACAAATTTTTCAACATGTTTAGTATTTTTTTTTTATATAATGGGATATCCACCCGATGCCACTCCCGAAAGTGCGCTTGGCAGCCTGAATAATTCTCGTCTGACCTAGAATAGGCACCCACCCAGAAACCTCCTGACCCGCTCTTGATTGGGCCCCATTTAAAAGTCGTTGTCGCTCGAGGGGAATCGAGCACGGATTGGGAGGTTCCCAACTGTACTCGTCCACTAACGGTGGGTAATAAGTTTAGTTCTTTCATGGAATATTGACTACCCCTCTTTCTGGTTCTGCCCTGTTCATCATCATTAACATTTACATCACTTGCACCAATTATAAGAACCTATTTTGACATTTCTGCAATGCTATTGTGTTTCTCACGGCTTGACTGCGGGGTTGATTGGTCAACTTCTTGAGGTTGTTGAAGGTATTGAAATCTAACAGAATATATTCTTAATAAATAGCATGTCGGTAATGCCGCCATTATGATTTTGAGGTTTTCCAACTATCATAATCTTTTGGCCCTTAACAATAAATTGTATTAGTGCTGTTTGATTTGACCTAAAATAGGTGTGAAATATTTTAAATATAAGAATTTTAAAAATATTAATATTTAATTTGAAGTAAAAGAAATATTAATTAAATTTTTTATATATTTGAAATGCGTTATTGAGTGTAATTTTGACATATTTCAAATTCTTTAGATTCAAATAATTTTCAAATAGATCATAAATTTTATCATTATTATTGGTTGTCGTCGCCTCTCGTTATCTCCATTGGGAGCCTTCGTCGGTCACTGCCAATTGCTATTGGCCACCACTGCTTGTCGTCAGTTTTCGCCACTTGCAGCTGTTGTCGGCCACCGCCAACCACTATCGACCAACACCAATGTTTGCATATCCCCGTTGGTCGACTTTTAATCTATTTTATGTTCACATTAATTGTAATCTTAAAAAATAAATGATTTATATACTGATTAAAAAGATTTAACTCTTGATTCAAAGTTGTTTAGCTACTTAAGTATTTGTTTAAGTAGTAATAAAGTAGTAATTCAATTTAAATGTTGAACTTAAGATATTTATATTAAAATGTTGATGTTGCAGCTAATGTTTAAAGAGTAATGCTACATTGCTCCAACCTATCGCTCAAACTAAAGATACTTGAATTAGAATAATGTTTGATACGACATGAAGCATGAATTTTAATAGAATTTTAAAACTTAAATAAGCTAAAAAGTCCAACAAGTCACCAAAACTTATAACTGAAATCAACACAAGGTAAATGATCAATATGCATGTTAGCAATCAAATCATAGCAGTAACATTTATATGATTATAGAGAGAAATCAGTAAACTAGCACATGTGTCAAATGAATTATAAGATATGACTTTTCATATTTCCTTGTATTAATTTAGGGTTTAGATTATAATAATCTACTGAGTTGGTAGCTAGATTTGGGATTCAAGTTTTATTTTATTTATATATTTTTTCTATTTTTTTATAATTAAGAACTAAAATATAAATTTTTTTTCATATTTAATGAGATGCCCGCCGATGAACATCCATCCTTAGAAGCTTCGGCTGAGAATAGTCTATCCTCTATCCGTGTGTGCTTCATAAAATCAATTCGTTCAAAGTCCAAGAAATATTTAATATAACGCCCACCGGTGAAGTAAAAGTTCAGCTTTTGACCGGAAGGCCGTCGATCCTCGGTCGCCTCTTCTTTACCTAATCTCTACCCTCTCTACGTTGCCCTGCTGGTATTTAATTGAATTAGCTCCCTGTGAGATCCGAGCTTGGGGTTGGGTTGAGGAGGACTTTAGAGGAGGAGGAGAAACTTGGGTGTGATTGTCTTGGAGAGGGAGAGGAAGGGATTCAGATGGCTAAGCTTTATGTGGAGACGACGCCGCCACCGGATCTGAACAAGAACACGGAGTGGTTCATGTATCCGGGGGTGTGGACGACCTACATACTCATACTTTTCTTCATGTGGCTCCTCGTCCTTTCTGTCTTCGGTTGCACCGCCGGCATAGCCTGGACAACTGTCAATCTAGTCCACTTCGCTGTATGTTTCCACTAATCTCTGCCTTTGGCTCTGCGTTAGGGTTTCGGTTGTTGTCAGTGGTGGTATTTTTAATAGCGGCCGTCGCCGGTCTCTCGTTTCTTGTTTGGAGTTCTGAGTAGGATTATAGGTTCTTTGAATTGTGATATTTCGTTGATTGTCCTTATCCATTGGGTAGTTTGACTTTTTCTCAAACCTTATTTTTTCTTTTTTCCTTTCTTTCTGCGTTTCTGAGAATTTAAAGCCGAATTTTAGGATGGTTCATGATTTTAAATTTTATTGGCCTCTTCAAAATTCTTCGTTTTACTATTCATGTGGCAATTATTTTTGTTCTTTGGCCATGACGCACTTTTTTTTTTTTTTCATTTACAAGTGTTGATATTCAATTGTTGGTTATCATTTGTGTATAAGAGAGTGTCTTCTGTTTCAACTATTCCTAGGCTTGTGATTTTAATGCATTGATTTATAGCTTGTTGTAACCCTGCATTTGTCCATGGCCATGAAGTAGCTCATCTATCGGACCAACAAGAATTTATCTCGTAACAAATATTACCAAACCAAGCCTTAGTTGGGTTTTGTGTCGCATGATTGACCTATTTGATGATTTAATGCCCAACTAATATTCTATAGATGGATTGCATTTAAGGATGACAATTGAACTGAAAACTGAAACTAGATCATAACATGACAAGAATTTTTAGAGTCTGGGCAGTCAAATGTGGGTTTTATAAGGTAAGAACAAAGAATTTGTGTTCTATGTTATTCAAGCATGCATGTTCATTAATATCATGAAATTGAAATTCCATTTTACTTAAATGCTTATTGTTTAGAGAATTGCATCTCTTAAAATTATAAATAAGAGATGGACGTGAGCCATTTTATCCATAAAATATGACAAGTTTCACATATTGTTTATCTGATAAACTCATACTGAATAGGCATGGTTTGGGTTTCCTAGAAGAAATTTAATATGGTTTTAGCGGAAGCTAAACATGATCATTGTTCCTTATCTAATTGGAGAGGCTCTCTCATACTTGAAAGTGGATTTGTAAATTATGCCGCAATCTGTAGTCTTATCATGATTTGCATATCCTCTTGATATTTAGAAGGTTATAAATGAATTAATTACTTGTTATATGGTAGAAATTTTTTAAATATTTATGTTCTTTAGCTTGAGTTGACAAATTTACTTTAATTATGACCTTATTTAGTGTTTTTTAAAAGGAAATTTTCATTTTATATATTGTTAGAGGATATTTCCTACCATGTAATCTTATAGTACTGAAAGTTCCTGTTCAATGATTGGAAGATGACGATGTATTTTCTTTCATGCTTTCTTGTTGTATTCTACATGGGAAGGTGAAGAACCCTTCTTAGATTTTGAAATATGATTTAAAATTTTCTAACAACATAACATAAAACTTTAGGGCCTATTTGGCTTTATTTTTTGTTTTATTATTTTAAAAATATTCAAAGCAACATTTATTTATTGTCATTATTTTTTAAAGCGGCTAATTATTCATTTATCAAAAGATAAAACTAAATTTTGAAGATACATAACTTGGCTAGGGAAGGTGCGTGATATTCATTTGCCTTCGAGCAACGTCTCCTTGAACATGAACTCAATAAAGAGCTAAATATATGTTTTCTTACATGTAAGTATATCAGATAAATGTACGTGGTAAGCAAAATCTAAATGGAAGCTCTTATAAAAGTAAAAAACTCTTGTTATAAAAATATTTTCATTGGCTGTGAAATTTCAAAATCCTTATTACAAAAATGGTGATATTAGCTACTAGACTTCAAAACTCTTGTTACAAAAAATATGTCTATTAATGATCTCCTCTAAAATGTTTAAACAAAAGCTCATACAAAAACTTCATTGTCTGCAATATCCTCCGAGCTTCATATACCCGACTTGATGTGAAAACATATATGTGATAAGAGTTGTTTAGGAATTTAACAATATATATTGAACATGAGCTTTGCTAGTTTCAAACTTATGTTTCACCCAAGTCAAATTCTTAGAATTTTCGTTAATAGATTAAGTAATGAAAAGCGGTTACAAAGAGATTAGCAAGACAATTGCAAATAACAACGAAAGCAAAATAGTAAGACTAATAGCAATAAAACAAGAATCCACAGCGTAACATCAAGAAGGGTTCACCAAGAGTTCCTTCTCACTCGCTCTTGAAGTAGGGTTTAGCGGAAGAATGGTAGAAGCAATCCCAATGATGCCACCACAAAGACATGTGGCGCGTATGGCCTTGTTCGCGGGAGAAGTAGCCGAAGGAGAAGAGGTCTTAGATCGGCCGACGAGAAGCCAAGGTCCTTTGGGTCGTTGATCTTCAATCGTCTCGGCGAGGCAATAGAGGATGCGGTTGACGTAGCTCTCCACAGAGTCTTCGTATTCCCAATCCGGATCGAAGAAAGGAGAAAGTAGGATATCGATTTTCCTTGTGCGTTGTAGGCAAAACCGCGGTCGACCTTAGGGTCGGTCATACACCGAGGGTAAGAAGGAGGAAAGAGTTTGTCTTCTTCTTTTGGCTTCTAAAGACATGAGAGGCGTCAGCTTCCAAGGGGAAGGAGGCAAGTGAGGGAGGCGGCCAAGGAGATAGAGGGGCGGCTTGGGTTGGGTTTAGTGAGGTGGAGAGAGGGGTTTAGTAAATCTGAAATTAAATTCAGATTTTTCTAAGGGAGGGGAGGGATTAATTTGAATTTCAAAATTTATCCCAAAGAGGCAATAGGTGCCGGCGGTTTAGGGGGTATTAAAGGGGAATTAATGGTGATTGACACTTAAATTGGAGAGAGAAAAGGCTTGGTAAGGGGCCGGCCATATAGGGAGGGGGATTGGGGTATTATTTTAAGTATGTGGCCCCTTAAGGAATAAATAATGATTAAAATCAAATCTGAATTTAATTTCAGATTTGATTTAAATGAGGTTTCCTAAATGGGTTTCTAGCAAAAGGAAAGTATTTGAATTTAATTATATAATTGAAGTCCCCATAGAAAAATTTCCTAATTGACTAGGAATTAATTTGGGAAAGTGATTAAAGGCAATGGAACTTTTGAATTTCAGAATTTTGGAGGCAATGTGGCCGGCGGGTTAAGCTTGTGGAGGAGAGGGGTGGTGGGGTGGAGGCCGGCCGCCAGATTGGTGAAGTGGCCGGCGGCTTGATAGGGGAAGAGGGCGGCTGGTGATGGAAAAAGGGGCAATGGTGCCGTCGATTTGGGGAAATAGGGAGGGGTTGCCGGTTGGTATAGGGGAAGAAGGGAGGAGGAAGAAGAAATTAAAATAAAAGAACCAAGAGCTCACCCGTTGGTGGGTTGTTGGGTATTCTGTTGGCCTCTCCTAGGCTTCACCACTCTCATGAACTCACAAAGAGATCAATAAGAAAACAAGTTAGAATTTCATTCATCAAATCATTCATCATTCTTTTATAAAACATAAGACTACTATATATAGGTCTCAAACATGAAGAAAAGAAAAGTACACAATTGTCCTCCGGGCTACAATAAAAAAACACTCCGCATAGGGGTAAACTCGGAAAACAACAAAACTAAATAAAACATAAAGAAATGCATCAAAAGTAAAGACGCTGAATCGTAGCCGTCGATCTATGATTCCGTCGCCGGTACACATGCCTGAATGATGTCCTCATCACTTCTTTTGTTTGGGTATATAGACTTGTTAACGAACAAAATGTCACATTAGTTATCAATAAAATTTAATTGCATGGTTGTTTATAAAATTTTATTCGCTAACTTACCAATTGCCTGTATGCACACATTCAATATTGGTGCTAGCTACAAGCTACAATATGGATCATATTATTTTGACTAAATTGAAGAGACAAAATAAAATGAAAGAAAAAGTTAGTGCATTTGTTTTGTATCACTTATAAGGCAGTCAACTTCACAATTATTCTTCAACATGTTATTTAAGTTTTCATTATATATCGCAATCTTCTTCTTTCCCTTTTTAGCAGTACCTCTAAATTCAATAGAAGGGTCCATATTATTTTCAGACAGCTCATCATGCTCACACTTCTTATGATCACTATCTACATATTTCTCACAATCATTTGATAATTTATGCTCGTAATCCTCATTCTCACCATCATTATCGCTTTCATCTACCTCCACATCCTTATTTTTAATAATTTCCAAATCAACAACTGCCTGCTCAGTCAAACCATTAAAGAGTTAAAAAAAAAGTATCATCAAGCCATTTGAAAATTACTTTACACTGTTCATTATTTTATGTTTGACTAATAGAAGGCATACAAATATTATACTGTACAATCAGAAAAAAAAACCCTACGACATAATCTTAAAAAAAAAAAAACAATGGGCAAACTTATCATTCAAAAACATTCATATTGATGGTCGACAATATTTCTTCTTGTCGATCTCCCTGTGACATCCTTTGTATTGCTCGAAAATAGTGGTTAGCCTTAAAAAATAGTTGTAGTTCCCATAGCCTTCAATGATTAAAAAAAAAGCTCAAAGAACTCATATCGTTGTGATTTTTTATGCTTTCTTAGTTAGCCATGGTTAGAGATTGCTATCGTGATTGTCAAATGCATTTTATGTCATGATGTCCGCTCGCTTGCACTCCCTACATCATCTTCACAGGATATGATGCTTTGTCACTTGCACACTTCTTGTTGGAGATCGTCGTTTGGACGTTTCTTTGACAATGCTTCACCACTCACAATTCATATGTCAAAAGTCCTAGTTCCTCTTGCCACTCCATTATTGCAAATAACTGACATGGGCACAATCTTGATAAATGAGTCAAAAAAATTATAAATTATAAAATTGTTACTAAAATGCTCCTCAAATTATCAATTAGTGCGAGAGCAGTGGCACTTTTCGTCAGTTTGGACAGTTTTTTTAATAGATGGATCAAATTGGATCAATTTTTAATAGTGGAGGGACTAAATTGAGCACTCACTAATAGTCAGGGGACTATTTTGAACTTTTTCTCCGTTTAAAAA